AAGTGAGCTTGAGAACAGTTGTGATAGAGCAGGATTTTAGCTCTCTGCTTGGGGAAGATGGTCTGTTATAAAGGGAGATGAAGAAACCCTGTTCTCCTGCTTCCACTGCCTCCAGCCAAGAAAATGCACTTCAGATCAGAACATGCAAAATAGATTGATTTATATAAGAACCAATAGCCAGCCAGGTGCAGTGGCTCATACCCATCTCAGCATGTTGGAAGGCTAAATCAGGAGGATCACTTGAACCTAGGAGTTCGAGACCAATCAGGGCAACATAGGGAAGCCTCATGTCTATAAAAAATTTAAAAAATTAGTTGGGTGTGGTGGGCCTGCCTATAGTTTCAGCTACTTGGGAAGTTGATGTGGGAGGATTGCTTGAGCTCAGGAGATCAAGGCTGTGGTGAGCCATGATCATGTCAGTGTACTCCAGCCTCGGTGACAGAGTAAAACCCTTTCTCAAAATAAGGTAATAATAATAATAATAACCAATAGTCAGGAAAAATGAGGGGATAGTAAAAGCCCTAAACTCCTTCAACAGTCATGCTTAAAATAGCTACAATTGATTCTTTATAGGGACTTTATCTACATTGTCTCCCTATGAGGTTGGTGTTATTAGCCTTATTGTACTTAAAAGTCCACAGGAACAGAATGATGAACATACTGTGTTCTTAGAACTAGACAGATTAGAAACCATGTCTGGGCTGAGCATGGTGGCTCACGCCTGTAATTGCAGCACTTTGGGAGGTCAAGGTGGGCAGATTGTCTGAGCTCAGGAGTTCAAGACCAGCCTGAGCAACATGGCAAAACTCCATCTCTACTAAAAATGCAAAACATGAGCTGGGCAGTGGTGGTGTGCACCTGTGATCCCAGCTAGTAGGACTGGGGAGGCTGAGGCATGAGAATCGCTTGAAGCTGGGAGGCAGAGATGACAGTGAGCTGAGATCTCGCCACTGCACTTCAGTCTGGGCAACAGAGCTCATGTCTAACTGTTGTGTCTGCCCACCCTGACCTCTCTGAGAATAGCTCTGTATCTCAGGCCTGAAGGAACTGTATTCTGAAATGCTAAAGAAACTTGCCTGTGTGGTTGTAGAGAAACCACTAAGAAATTATAAAGTAGAGGTAGTAAAATGCCTAGAACTTAAAAAGATAGGAATGAGTAGATTCTGGAAATTCCAGACTTGCAAACTTAATCTCATGACCTATGAAAATTCTAGAATCTTAACTTTTGCATTAACTGGCTATGTAACATTGGGCAAATTATATTATCCCTCTGGACTTCAGTTTCCTTGTCTATGAAGTATGTGCTTGTATTACATCATCTTCAGGGTTCTTCTAGTTCAAAGTATTTCATCCTCGTAAGTTCCTTTAGTATGTTCTGACAGTTTTAGTATTACAACCATGAAATAACTCATTTTCATTTGGTATCAGATGCCCTAGTGTTTCTTCAGAGAGTAAAGGGTTAAGAAGATGGAGTTTGGAATGATATAGTTGTAGGTTCAAATCTTACCTCTTCTCCCTACATAACCTTAAGCAGGTTATGTAAACCCTCACTGTATCTCAGTTTTTCCTCTATAAAATACTAGTCTTTCCAATATGTTCATTTATTTCACAGGGTTGTTTTAGAGTTAAATGAAATAGTATGTATAAAGCACTTAGCTCAGTGCCTAGAATATGACAAGGCACCCAGTAAATACTAGTTCCGATACTTATTGATTCTAAGATGCTCTTTTTCTTTCTACATTTTGCCATCTCTGAAGTTAGGATGCATCTTATAGTTTATGGTGTGCAGTAGTTTAATTGGCAGTAGTTTTTTTCTTTTTAAATGGCAAATAAACTAATGATACATTTTGCAATTCATTAAATACGGTATTTCCCCAGCATGATTCTTATCCCTGAGGTTCTCATTTCTCCTCTGGGATGCTCCTTTCTCTAACTTTTTGCAGGCCATTATCACTTCTACAGCAAAGCAGATTTAGGGAATGAAACAGCTGGGGAAGTGACAACCTCAGCCATCATCTTGTCTGGCTCGTTTATTTCACTGGTGTTGGAAATGGAGGCCAGAATGTGGTAGAGAAATAAGAAAAGAACACAAAGTGAACTGAGGTCTTCAGATTCCTGATCCAGTGCCCTTTCCCCCATCAGCAATGTTATTAGCATGGAACAATCCCACAAGCATCCATGGGCCCTGGTTGGATGGTGAATGCTTCCAAATCTAACAGAGATTTTAATGGAAAGATTTTAATCCTACAGCCACAAAGCTGGAAATTAATAGATTTTGACTACTCTTTCCATTTGCACAAACACAGAGTTGTAAAATTTTAGAGTTGAAGGGAAGAAATTTTTTTCCTGTGGGAACTATAATATTCTCACCTTTGCTGTAGTCTGAATTTGCAAAGCATGCTCTCTGGAGGCAGCACATTTTCTCTAAGTTATTATGTCTACAATTTCAGGAGCTGACAGCATGTGGATGATTGTGTCTTGAATTGTGAATGGTTTCTGCAGTTTGGCTGTTCCCAGGTTTGTACAGCTGAGCCCAGCGGCAAATCAGTCACACATTTCAGACACTTCATTGATTCATTCATTCACTCCATCACCTAACACTTACTGGACACCTGCCGTCTGCCAGACACAAGGTATACACGTAGTCTCAACTAATTCTGATGATAGCCTTATGAGTTGTTACTTACATTTTGCAGATGGAAAAACTAAGAAATAGTGATGCTAAGTTACACTTTTTTGAGTTGGACATTGATGAATCTTCCAGATGTTGAATAGGGCATTTCAAAGGAAGAGATAACTTTTTTGCTATAAGAAAAATGGCTCAAAATTGAAATAGTAATATGAATTATTTTATAGTATGATATGTGAACATATACAGAAATATGTCCATCGCCTACAGAAAAGAAACAGAATGTTCATTGTGGATCTATTAGCTGTAAACTTTAATTGTATCAGTCAATTCACCGGTCCCACAGTAGGCTCACAGGTAAAAGGTACAGGCCCATGGGCTTGGGAGAGGGCAGTAGCAGCCTTTCTCCAGGAGCACACTGGTGAGAAGTAATTCCAGGTACCCCAACCTAGCATCTCATCGTGCTGTAGATTCTACTTGGATGTTTGTTGGAGTCTTTATCTGTACATGATGAAGACTTATACCTCTTGGTGATGTGTCTTCTCCCAGTGCTTCTTGGGGCTCTCCTTTGCCTCTCAATTTAAGAGTAGTGGTGGCAACACGAGTGGAGATGAGGCTACTTGCCTTCCCCTTCTGTGGTACCTCTATTGACTGAAAAGCATAAGGCCATCTCTGGGGATAGAAACTATGTTACTCTTGTGCCTTTCTGGGAAGGCTTCCTGGAGGGAGACAGATTTCACAGCTGAGGTCAGAGCCTTTTTAGAGTTCTCCTTCTTATTCTGGGGATTAACCTCAAATAGTGAATTATAAAACATGCAAATAAAAAGAATAACAGACAAAAATGAGGAAAGGCATGGCATTAAGAGACCAAAGAAGCAGAGGATTATAAAATCTAGAGAAGAGAAGCCAGAGAAGTGGTTTTATAGCTTTAAATTTGGGGTATTTTTAAAATATGGTCTTTATATATTTCTACAACATTAATTTTAATACATATTTATTGTAGAAAGTTTGAAAACTATAGAAAAGAGTAAAGAAAAAAGTCCACATAATCTCAAAACCGAGAAATACATTATGTTCATATTTGGGATCACATCTAAATCACTATTTCAGAAGGTTAAAAAAAAAAAGTTGAGTCTCAGCAATCTCATGATTTAACCTAACCTATATAGTGTGTATATCGTTAGTATCCTAATTTTTATTTTACATAGTGTGAGCATTCTTTCATGAAATTAAAAATTACTCAAAAATATAAATTGTAGTGGCTGATTTGTATTTAATTTATACCTATTTCAAGTTTATTTTAACTATGCCCTTTTTGTCGGATACTTAGGATGTTTGCAGTTTGGGGACACATTAAAAAGTGTTGCATGAAACCTCTTGTTTGCAAATATCTGTCCTCATTTTTCCTGAGTTCCTTCACATAGACATCCAGAAGGGATATCACTAGATCACTGTATTGTTACCACATTACTTTCTGAAAAGGCTGAAGCAATTTTACTTGTACTAACAGGGTTATTGGCAGGAAGAGGTAATTAATGCTGAACCCTTGCTGGCATTGATAATTATTGCCTTCTCAAAATCTTTGCAAATTTAATGGATTTAAAAACATCTCATTGTTTAGTTTGCATTTTCTTTATTAATAATTAGATGGACTACTTTTTCTTATGTTTATTATCCATTTTCCCTCTTTTTTGAAATGTATATTTATATTCTTTGCCTATTTTTTGACTAATTTTTCAAAAGTTTTTGAATATTTTTTTCTCTATCATATTTGTTATACATGTTTCCTAGCTTGTCATTTGCCTTTTAAATTTTATTTATAATCTGACATACAGTTTAAATTCTACATTAAAAAACCATCAATATTCTTCTTTCTGGTTTCTTTAAAGACTTTTGTGCCTTGAGAGCTCTTTCTTATGCAGGGATCAGTTAAATGACCATGCATGTTTTCTCTTAAGGTTTTTTTTTTTTTTTTAAAATGTGATTTTAAAGATTTGGACTCTAATCTGTCTAAAATTTATTTTATTTTGGTGTATGATATGCAGTTGTCAGGATTAACTTGATTTTTCTTTTTCAAATACTCAGTTTTGCCAGTGCCATTTATTGTCTACTTTATCTTTTCTGAATTGCTTTAGATTCTTTCCTTACCATGCATTAGATTTTAAAATATGCCAGATCTGTATTAGGGCTATGTTTCAGGCTCCATTCATTGTATGTTAATTATTGTGTCTGCTCCACCTTTTAATAATTTGAGTTTAAAAAATATATACTTTCATATCTGGTAGGGCAAGTCCAACACATTTATCTTGTTAAAATTTTTTTAAATTATTTCGTCTATTTGTTTTTCTAGGTAAAAATCTAGTTGAAAATTCCTTTGCACATAGCAGGTACTTAAAGATTTATTCAACAGATATCCGCTATAATGTTTAGCTTTTTAATCCAAAAACATGTTGATTTTATTTGAATTTTATTTTACATGAATCTTCTATGTCTTGCATTTCAAATGGATAAACCCTATTTGCATATGTGGAAAATTATACCTACTAAAAAATGGAGTTTTCTTTTAGAGCTCATTTGGACTTCGGTTCTTTTAGTCATAAAACAACTTTATCTGTGATGAATGGTAGCCATTTTTTATTTGCCACAGGATCACATTGCAGAGTGAACAGCTGTGTAACACAGTTTTCCTAAACTTTAAATAAGGATGCTCTTACAATGCTATTTGACATGTTACCATAGCCACAACCTAATTATTAAACTAATTATTAAATTTATTGTTAAGTGTATGAATATTTTACAAATATTCCAGATATGAAGGATTAATATACAAAGGAGGGAATTTGCTCTTTACCAATTATTTCAATAATAAATAAGAAAAATCTAACATAGAAAAAAATTAAAGAAACATTAACAAAATCTGTAACCCAACTTTTCAGAGATAACTGCTGTGTATGAGTGTGTATATATATATATACACACACACACACACACGGTTTTTATACATATATTAACACAGACACTATGTGTACAATTGAGGCATGGTTGTACATAACTGTTTTATAATCATTTTCACACTTAACAATATACCAAGAAATTTCCCAAGGTATTATACTTCTGTTTTTTTTTTTTTTTGACATGGAGTCTTGCTCTGTCGTCCAGACGGGAGTGCAGTGGTGCAATCTTAGCTCATTGCAACCTCCGCCTCCCAGGTTCATCCACCTCAGCCTCCTGAGTAGCTGGGATTACAGGTGCCTGCCACCACGCCCAGCTAATTTTTGTATTTTCAGTAGAGGTGGGATTTCACTATCTTGGCCAGGCTGGCCTTGAACTCCTGACCTTGTAATCGACCTACCTTGGCCTCCCAAAGGGTATTATACTTCTATAGTGTCACATTTAATGAGTACATTGAGTTTTACCGTGGTTTATTTAAGCAATTCCATGAGGCTGAACATTTGAGGTTGTTTCTGATTTTTTGAAATATATAAAGCTATCACAAACCTCTTTGCTCCTTAACTAAAAATTACTCTTATATTAGCATATAGGCTGTGTTCTGAGTACACATGCACATTGATCCATGGACAAGACATTTTCATAGCTCTGTAGTCATGGCAAGGACTCCTCTTTTCCAGGGAGCTAAAAGAGCAGGGGACCAGGTATCCCAGCCTCTCTCCTAGAGGTCTTCTGCTAAGATTACTGGGAGAAAATTCTGAGTGCTGGGGAATTGGTGAGAAAATCATTTCAGAGAGCATGGAACTGAGAATCTAAGCAATGTTGGGGACATTTATTCTACATGTAGCAAGGAGATTTTAGGATCCAGCTCACTTAGATTTGTATTCACCACTTTTCTGTGCCTTCACACCTAGCTCTGTGTGTTAAGGGTAAAGTAACCTCTCTAGCTTTTCTTTCTCTGTGAACTCCCCCTACCTACAACAGCCTGACAACTCAAGGCCAACTAAGAAACAGACCCACAGGTCTCTGACTCTCCCCAGTCCTCTCCCCATGGGGCTCTGAAGGCTGCCTACAGGTAGATGTGGGGCTTCTTCATCTCAGATGGTGGCTCCACTCTCAGAATGTGTTTTCAGCAGGCATGCTTCTCAGAAATGCCACCTGGACCTCAGATCTTTGTGTAGAATCCAGTCTCATAAGGGCATGGAGAAGAGGCATTGTAAGAAGAAGGAACAAGCCCTGCCAGCTGCTGGCACCTGTAGTCACGGAGATGCCCATGACCATAGTCTGCTGGCCACAGGAGGAGGAACAAACGCACAATGGTCTTCCTTTGGTAACAGGAGGCTTTCCTTTACATCTGGGGCACCCGGCAAGGGGAGCAGGAGTAGTTGTAATGCTCGCCAAATAGCTCAGATTGGGTAGCAGAGGGAAACGATAAAAATTCAAAGGAACCACACAGATGGGTGTGAGCCGTGTGGCTTACAGGTGTACAGTGGGAAGTTGAGGAGGCAGTTTTTTGCTGCTGTTTTCTGAGTTTACTCCATTCGCTTAGTCATTCACTTGCTCACTCATTCATATAATCAGCACTTATTATTGAACATCTACCATGTGTCAGGCCCCATGAAGGAAGATACCAAGATGAACAGAGAAGAGTGAGCATTATGTTGACTTAGTATCAGCTAGGTATCTGGTTTTCAGTTTTTCTCCCTTAATCATTACAACAGCCTATAAAGTATAGGTATTCTTATCTCATGTAAAGAAACAGAGATTCAGAGAGGTCTAGTAAGTGCTGGAGGTGGGAGTCAGACTTCTGTCCAAAGCCTGTGCTTGACTCAGGGCTGTGACCTTCTTCTCAAGACATGCCTGTCCTGGGAGAGCTTGCTGTCTTAAGTAGAAGACAGCATGTTGAGCAAGTAATGGCCAGGCATGTCCTGTGGTGCCTCCCTCACTAGTAATACTCCAGAACCCTTATCCTGCCATTATCCAGGCTCCAGCAGATCTTGTTAAACATGTTTGCAGACTCTTTCTGCTGGCTCTAACCTTGCCACAGTGTCATTAATTGAGGAAGGATCTGGGGTCAAGTTGTCATCCTTCCAATGGCAGGGGTGTCATCAGTTTGGAAGGTGTACTGTCAATGTACTGCCTTGGTGCCTACAAAACTCATTTTGTGTTCAGCTAACCTTAGTTCTTCCAGCTTTTAGTAGCTACATAATAAGGGATAATCACCTCTGTTAAAGCTTATTCTTACAGCACAGGATCCTTCACATAGCCTTCACCTTCTACCCTCTGTCACAGTTTCCATTTATCTCAGTAAGGAATCAAAATCATTTCATTTTCTTTCTCTGCCAGCTCAACCATGGTATTGGGTTCCACCTAAACCGTAAGTGTCATAAAGTAGTCTGTGAGAGAGGCAGAGCCTAAATAATAGGGTCTAGTGGTTAGAATCCAAGATAACTTGTAGAATCTCACTGTGGCTTCCCTAGGCTAGTGGTTCTCAATGATTTAGGACATCATAGATCCCTTTGAAAGGCTGTTGACAACTGCACTTAAACAGATTGTCTCCCAGAAAAATAGACACATATGGGTGGATATGCAAATGATTTGCATACGGTTTCATGAGATTCATGGCTTTCCCCCACCACATACATTTTGAGGCAGGGTTTATAGGCCCGCTTTGGTTTATCAGGTGAAAAGTATAACCTAGTCTGTCCTCTGGTGAGTAGAGTTGAGGATTACCCAGTTTTCCCTCCAGAATTCTGGAGGATTATAGTTTCATGAGATATTCAGATAACTTCTCGTTTCCTATTTAGCACTTAACATTGTTTTGCTTCTTTCTAAAGAAATAGCAGACATCAGGAGTCAAACTTTTTCCTGATCATGGCAAATTTTCTAGCTTATGCTGGGCCCTGGTTATGCTAGGACCACAGGGGAAGCTTTGTTGTTTATCTTTCAACAAACATTAACTCATCTCTTTGTTATTATGAATAGGGTCTAGGTCATGAGAAAATTCCATTGTGCCTTAGTTACTCTCCTCTCTTCTAGACCCACCAGAGACTCACCACCTGTCTGGTCCAATCAATGACCTATGTGATGATTACATAACCAACCCCTTGCCTCTGTTCTAGTTACTGCTTTTTTATGTTTTAGAGACTTCCTCAGAGCTGGAATTTTAGTATCTCTTTGGAATTATCTGAATGTTTGTCCTCTATGTATACCTCCTTATTATATTTCTTGCATGATATGCATGTCTTGCATGTCTATCTGTCTGACTCTTTCCTTAAAATTAAAGTCCCTTAAGGTCAGGGACTCTATGTTGTTTGCCTTTGTGCCCACAGTGATTGTAACTTTGCCTGACACATAGGTGCTCAATAAATGTTTATTGAATTGAATTGTATATGTTTGGATACCCAAGGTAATAACTTAAGTAGGGACTCAAAAATTGCTTAAAACTCCAGGAATCTTTTCATGGCTAACCAATCAGATACGGTTAAGCCAATTTATCTAGAAACATGAGCATTGTATCAGAGGACATACAGGGCTTATGCTGTTTGTGTGTGTGTGTGTGTGTGTGTGTGTGTGTGTGTGTGGAGGGGTAGGTATACAGACCTTTGTTTCTTGGTTACTGCAATAATTTGCCACTGCAAGTGCCATTGGAGACTCAGAGAGCCAGGTCTGTGCTACAGCAAGGGGCAGAGGTTTGTTTGGTATTGTTCTGCAAACCCCTTGCAGAACAATACCAAACAAACCTCTCTTCTGTAATCTCTGTGTATGAATATCCCTCCAATGTATCTTCACATTTCTTTATCTCCCTGATATATCTTAACATCTCTTTCATCTCTGCCTCTTTCTCTTATGGTTGACATATCCTAAGACAGCATGGACAGCAGCCACTCCAAGTAGCCAAACGCTAGTACTAGTTCACTAGTTCAGGACCAAGGACAGTGGCACACATGTCCTGGCAGTGGGAGAGGGTGCTTTAGTTTGCTACTTTGTTCAGTAAGATGACCTTTGGATGTGTCCTTCTCAGCTGTCAGACCGCACCTACAGTTCTGCAAACCTGGTTGTTATGTTGGTCCTAGTTGTTCCATGTATGTGGTGGACCTGTGCCCAGTCTGTGCCAGTGTATCCCTGTGACATTGCTCACTGATGATCATGGTGGAGGACCCTGGAGCAGGAGTGGCATGGTTGTAGAATAAGGAAGAGTGCAAGTGGGAGTGGGGAGAAGCTCTGGGCTTGGGTGAGAGGATCTGCTCCAGGAGCTGCCTGTGAGGGTCCTTTGACCTAAACTCTGTGGTCAGCCATTGCTACTTTACTGTCACCCACATGGGGGTTGGAGAGGTGGGTGAGGGGAGAGGCATCCAAGAGGTGCTTGACAATATCATATTTAGATATCTGCCAGAGTGCCTTCCATAATGATATAGCCCAAACCTGGCTTTTCAAATCAGTAATTTCATGTTTAGTCTTTATGCCCTGATTAAATTAAGTATTAATATTATTGATATTGGTGCTGGGGAAAACGGAGGTGGGACTGAGATGAGGGTCCCAAGGAGCAAAGCTTTTCTATGTCTGAACTTGCACAGCGCACACCTTCTACCCATGGACATCTCTGTAACTCTCTCCAAATATATTATAATAGCAAATACATAGCTAATGTTCAACAGTTGGATCATATTCATCACTGACAAGCTAATGTTCTGGGTAACTTTGAGGGTCCATCCAAGAGCAGTGCTTAAAGTAACAAAAAAGACAATAAGTCTACCACTATCACCACTACCTGTGCTGTATGAGCACTTTAGATAGCCTGGTGAGTTAGAAAAGAATCAGCTTCAAAACAAACACAGTGGGTGGAAAGAATCACTTCTGAAGTGGCCATTTTCTTGTGTCTGCATTACACTCAAGATGTCAACTTTTCTGGGGAGGGAGGGAGGAAGAGTGAATAAGCCTGTGTGTATTGCAGCTGAGGTCTCAACTCGAGCTAATATTAAATCTTGTGAAGAATAAACAGAAATGGTTTGCTCATTAGCTGGGCTTAGAGAGGCGTTACCCATATGTTTGAAGTGCTAATTATTAGTGATCTTTAATGGAGCTAATTTAGCAATGGAAAGTGTTACAAATTTCTGTTCCTCAAAGGTAGCCCATTAGCCAGGACTTTATAGCTAATATTGACTTTAGAAAGTTAATATTGAAATTGGCCTCAATTAGAGTTCATGTGAGAGAAGGAGAAAGATGAAGATGGAGGTAGAAATAAGCACAAAGAAAGACCATGGGAGGAAGAGAAATGGCAGTTACTAAACCCCTTTTATGCAAACGGTGCCATGACACTTGGGGTGTGAAAGACTCTGCCTCTGGGTCACTCATTAAGTGCCAGCTGTATGCGAAGTACTAAACCTATTGAGAGAAGCACCCAGTCTCTCAATGAGCTTAGAGTCTAGTGAGGGAGCCAGATACAGTGGTGGATAATAGCAGAACAGGGAAGTACATGCCAGTGATATTCTGAGGCAGACAAGTGAGTCCAGCCCAGATGGTGATGGAGCAGTTAGGGCAGCCACCCTAAGGAAGCTATCCAGCTCATTATAGTGCAGGGCAGAAGATGGTCATTTATGATAAGGAAGTTCAAATGCATATCAGAGTCAAGAGAAGGTAGACATTGCTTTTCTCCAGTATAAAGGCTGCCCTTATCAGCCAGGTCCCTGGTTGCTACCTCATGTTACAGGAGACCTGGTCAGTTTTCTTAGAAAAGCTCGGTATTTAGCAATTGTCAAAAGAACAACATGTTGTTTTCTGCCTTTTTGTGTTGAAGTCAGGTTAGCAGAGGCTCCTGGGTGTCCTTTGCTTAGAAATCCCATGGCCAAGGAGAACTCTGCCGCACCATCCCTCCTGCATAACTGCCACCTAAGGAGGGGGATGCTCCTTGGTTTATTTGATGTTTGTGGGTGTCAGTAGTGAGGGATGACTGTGGGGTGTTGGCCCCATTGTGCACAGGTGGATTCCCAAGTTGGGAGAGGCAAGTGGGTCTCCACACTGTGCTGTGTGTTTGGTTGCTGACATAAAGCTGCCCAGTCTCTCTCTCTCTCTGCCAGGTTTATTCCTTTCTCTAAGAACACACTTCCTGTCTTCTTGGTAGTTCTGTTTTGTTGTTTGTTTGTTTTTTGAGATGGAGTCTCACTCTGTTGCCCAGGTTGGAGTGCATTGGTGTGATCTTGGGTCACTGCAACCTCTGCCTCCCAGGTTCAAGTGATTCTCCTGACTCAGCCTCCCGAGTAACTAGGATTACAGGTGCGCACCACTATGTCTGGCTAATTTTTGTATTTTTAGTAGAGTCAGGGTTTCACTATGTTGGCCAGGCTGGTCTCGAACTCCTGACTTCATGATCTGCCCACCTCTGCCTCTCGAAGTGCTGGGATTATAGGCATGAGCCACCACACAAGGCCAGTGGTAGTTGTTTTAAGGAGAACTCTAAGGAACATATTTTATAGTCACTGGAGGAATTTTTCAACAGTTTCCTTAATAGCTCATTAGTGTCTGTAAAGAGGAGACAGGAGCATTCACCTCCATTTCTCTCTCTCTCTCTCTCTCTCTCTCTCTCTCTCTCTCTCTCTCTCTCTCTCTCTCTGTGTGTATCTTTCTGTCTACCTCTTTATTTCTTGCTCTTATCCCTTTTTCTTACTGTTTTCTTCCACTCTTACCCCCTCTATCTCTTTCTCTTGTGTTAATGTGGGAAAGGAGGGGATAAGATAAGGGAGAATGAAAATCTTGCATCTAATGGGTTCTCTACCAACCCCAGTTTCGCAGCCAGTGTCTTTTCCTAAGGGCTTCACCCATCTATTTTCTACACAGAAGACAGCAGGACCTTAAGTCTCTTTCCTTTATGATTCAGTTTCATACTGTACTTTCATGGCGTCTCACACAAACTGTCAGCCTGCTACTATCCCAGCACATCCCAGGAGGTTACCCACAAACATGCTTCCTGCCTCTCTTGGGACTTAGGGAGTAGCTCAAAAGAGACAAAGTTTCAGTGCTCCTATCCACTGTTCTACCACTAGCCTCAGCAGGGGCCAAGTCCCAACTTCCCCCTATCCTCAGTGATAAAGCAGAATGTGACCTGGAGGTTGCGATCAGAGCCTGCTGGGCCAAGCCCTGTTTAGCAACCACAGCCTTCTTCTGGGACCAGCCAGATCCCACCCAGCTCTGCCCCTTGCTATAGCACAGACCTGGCTCTCTGAGTCTCCACTGGCACTTGCAGTGGCATCTTTGCTGATGACTGCCGAGGTATCCACCCTGTTGGGAATCAGACCACAGAGCTTACAGCTTACCCTCCTCCATGCACTCCTTTTCATCACCCCCTAACTCTGCTTTTCTGTTCATTGAGTAAAATCTCTTCACCCATGGCATACAGTTTGTTTGCCCCTTTTTCTCTGCCTTGGCATGTACTGCTTTCCACCATCCCTTGCCTCTTCCTTTATTTACAATCTAGTTCGAAGATCATCTTCTCTAGGAAGACTGACCTGATAGATCACCTCACCTTGACATTCTCTGTCCTCTCTGTGCCCGTGTGTGGTCAGTTTCAGTTTTTCTTGACTCTTTTTTCTAACATGCACTGTGCTAGGTCGTGGGGTAGAACAAGGAATATTACATGGTCCCTACCCTCAAGGCATCAGGATCAGTTAATGGGGAGTAAATGAAAACACATAAATGCCATTCAGGAGTGATGGAGTATGAAGTACAACTGGAGACAGCTCAGCTTGATGGCGAGGCCAAGGAAACTGCACAGAGGAAATGACACATTTGAGGGAGATTTAAGAGGTAGGATCAACAGAACTGAGCAGCTGAATCAATATATGTGATGGAGGAGGGGGAGGAGTCTAGGATGCTTCCCAGGTTTCTGTTTGGTTAGCTCAGTGGATGATGGCACCAATAATTAAGTGGATATAGGATGATCAGGTTGGGGGCAAGGTGGGAGAGTTTTTATCAGAATCTCAGAGTCTTCACTTTTATATGTATACATACATACATACAGTCCAGTAGCTTCCTGGTATCAGGAGAAAATTGACACTGGGTATTTTACTAGGCTGGAAACTCTCAGAGAGCAGAAGTTGGGTTTCCTCTCCAAGGGAGAGAGTTGCCTGAGATGGGCAGTGTGTTCTCAGATGCAGAGCTGCCCAGGTGGGAGCACCTCTCCTTCCTGTTTCTTGTCCAGCATTTTCCAGTGTTCGGGGCTTTGCACCTGTGGGTGGGGATGCAGGTGGGATAAAGAGGAATAAATTGACTGGCTTCTCTGTCCTCCAGGGCTATCTTAAAGATGGCATCTTGGTCTGTAAATATTATTAGTGACAGTACTTATGGTACCGAGAGTAGTTAGAGAAGGTAAAGCTCTGAGGATAGGAAGGAAGATTTGTGGTGAAATTAAAACATCTGATGTAGGCGGGTCCGGCGTCTACGGGCCAGGGGCCGGTGGCTCCGCCCAGCCAATCGACGCCCCGCGACGGGCAGGCCTCCAGCCAATCCGGGCTCGGCTACGGGGCAGGAATGGGTGGGCCCGAGGCCCGGCAGAGAGGCCCTGCCGTGGTGAGCTAGGCCTAGCCCGTCAGTGGTGGGTCCCGGCACTGGCTGGTCACGACGCTACGGGCGTTCCTGAAGGTGGTCATGGCGAACCTGGCAGCTGAAGGCATCATGGTGGGAGGCTTGAAGCGGAAATACTGATTTAGAAGAGGAGGAGGAGAAGGAGGAGAGGTGGGAGTGGAGTCCAGCAGGCCTTTGGAGATACCAGCAAGCCCTGCTCCGCATCTCCCTAGACAAAGTCCAGCGCAACCTGGGCCCCCAAGCACCCAGCCTCCGCAGGCATGTCCTCATCCACAACACCCTCCAGCAGCTGCAGCCCGCACTTCCCCTGGCTCCTGCCCCTGCCCTGCCCCCCCAAGCCCCTCTTCCTGATGTCGGCTACCATTGGCTCTATCCTCAGGGAGCTGGAGACCTCCATGGATGAGACTGAGCCCCCTCAGAATCCAGTGGCTCCCTTGAGCCTCCAGAATGAAGTGCCACCCCAGCCTGATCCAGTCTTCTTAGAAGCTCTGAGCTCCGGGTACTAGGGGGACTCTGGCTTGGACGATTTCTTTCTGGATATTGACACATCTGTGGTGGAAAAGGAGCCTGCACGGGCCCCGCCAGAGCCTCCTCACAATCTCTTCTGTGCCCCAGGTTCCTGGGAGTGAAATGAACTGGATCACATCATGAAAATCATCCTGGGATCCTAAAACTGTGATGCAGGGGATCCTTCCTGTGTCATCTTCAGGGGGCCTGGATCCTTGAATGCAACTCTGGGTGTGTTTTTGTAGGTGGGGGGAGCTCTAAGCATTGACTATGGCCTTCTTTCTTCCCATTTCAGGGTTCCACAAACTGTCTTGCATGTGTGTGTGTGGGTGTGTCTGGTTACCCCGGCCTTCTGTGAAGGTGGGTCTTCTTGAATTAATTTATCTGTTCCAAATGCCTTAATGAGACTCTGTTCCTGGGAGTCTGATTTTCCACTTACACATTTCTTCCACCTTTCCCGCTCGTTCCCACTCCCCTGTGACCACTGGGGCCTCAGGGAAGATAAAGAAAGCTGGGCCTGTAGAAGGATGGCAGGGATGTGCCTCCAGGACATTGTAGAAACCCAGGCTCTGCCTCTTGCACCTTGAGGAGTGGGAGGGGCTGGTCTCCTCCCTCCAGGCTGAACCCTACTTCCTTGGCAGGACCCCAGTCTCAGTAGCCACCTGATTTCAGAGCCTGGCCGGACCACATGCAATAGGGTGGAAACAAAACTGCTCCATGCCACGTTATTTAAAAAGAAAGGCAGAATTTGTGGTGGCTTTTTTTTTTTATTGTTTGTAATTTTTTTTAATAAAAGTATTTTGGAAGAAAAAAAAACCATCTGATGTATGAAGGAATGGTTTAAACCACCTGAGAAGCTTGGACAGGTGTTCCATAAACACTCTGGCACCAAAAAGTAAGATGTGGTCTAGTCTTAATGCCCTGGAGGAGTAAATTGTCTACCTTCCAGATAGCCTTTTTATTCCAGAGCTGAATTTGAGTAATAGATTATAGGATATTGGCTGAATCTCTGGAATCTTTGGGCAGTGGAGAGGGGTCTTCCCATGGTGGAGGCCGGAGAGGTGATGCGCAGTGTTAGATGAGATTTAGAGGTCCTGTTTAGGCCATGCTACAGGATGCTTTTCTCCATCTTCTCCCAGTGAGGCAACTCTGGAATGGAAAGACATACTTTAATACACAACATCCCGAAGTGTAATGTGCACATGAATCACCTGGGGTTTTTTTTTTGGCGGGGGAGGGGTCGAGACAGGTCTTGCTCTGTCGCCCAGGCTGGATTGCGGTGGCATGATCACAGCTCACTGCAGCCTCAATCTCCCTGGCTTAATCAATTCTCCCACCTCAGCCACCTGAGTGGCTGGGACTACAGATGCATTCCACCATGACTGGCTAATATTTATTGTATTTTTTGTACAGATAGGGTTTCATCATCTTGCCCTTGCTGGTCTCAAACTCCTTGCCTCAAGTTGTCTTGCTTGCCTTAGCCCCCCAAAGTGCTGGAATTATAGGCTACTGTGCCTGGCCTTATCTGGGTTTCTTGTTCAAATGCAGGCTCTGACTCTGTAAGTCTGGGGTGGAACTTGAGATTTTGCATTTCCAGCAAGGTTCTAGGTGTATGCTTATTACCTTGAGCAGCAAGGCTTTAGGACTCATTTTTAAGAAGCTCTTTTTTTTTTGTACCTCCTTGCATTGTGTAAAGGTGATGTCCTATCTCTGAAAACAGTTATTTGTCCTATTTGGAAACCTGTCTGTCTGCACTTGGAAGCCCCCTGGAGGGCAGGATCCATTTCTTGTCTTACTATCACCAAAGCCTGACATATGGTATGGCACATAATAAGTGCTCAATATAGAATTAATGAAAGAACCTTAAAAATAGGGAAATGTCAAAATTACAACCAAACTAAAGTCCAGCCAAATGAGCTCCTTGTCCTCTCAACTGTAAGCCAGATCTCTTTTATGCATTCTCTCAGTCAGTTACTCAGTGCCATTTTGAGCAAGGTTCTCATTCTGGACACCACAGGGGTGATGTAGAAAGAGAAGGCAGAAACTGAGCATAGGGAAATGTGCAGAGACAGGGCTCAGGCCCACTTGAAGCAAAATTAGAACACTTACATAGTAGCTTCTGAATAAGTGCGCATTAAAGGGGTGTGACTGAGAACCAGAAGGAAACAAAGAATAATCCATGGATACTCTGGAAGCTTGAACCTCTAAATGCTCTATAAATGCCCACTCTATTTGTTTCTTCACTGGTTGAAATCAGGACTGCTTTCTGAAGGAAGTTAGTATAGAATACAAGTCACTCATGTTCCCTGTGGGATATACTGCTACTTTAGACCCACAGACACACAGAGAGGGCCGGTGGCTCAAGGGCCAGTTTTACCATTGTCACGTAGGGTCACACAGAGCCTGGGAGCCGCAGTGAGGAGATTGACATTTTCCAACATGGGAAATGATGACTAGAAGCAATGTGAGCATAACACATTTGGAGCAAGGAGAAGCAAAAGTGGGGCTTGGAGAAGACCCATGCTGAAGGATCCTGGGGAGATAGCAGGGGTAATTTGTACTTCCTTAATAGATGTGGAGTATTTCAGCTTTGCTAATTAACGGAACAGCAGGCTTGTAATTCTGACAGCAGCAGGACACAAATGGGGTAGGATTAGCACTGAATGCCAGAGAAGCATGCCTTTGTTCTTAAGAAGATGCACCACACCCACGTTGGGTCAGATCCATGAGGGTGCCACCCTTGATTTTGATTTTGGTCTTTTCCTACAGTACCTCCAAGGGCTAAGGTTTTTGTTTGTTTGTTTGTTTTGTTTTGTTTTTTTCAGGCCTTCTTTAGAGGTAGCAAGTCTGTCTCAATAGGCTTTTTTTTTTTTTTCCAAGATGGAAATAGGTCTATGATTGGTCTAGAGCAGGGGTATCCAGTCTTCTGGCTTTCCTGGGCCACATTAGAAGAAAAAGAATTGTCTTGGACCACACAGAAAATACACTAACACTAATGACAGCTGATGAGCTAAAAAAATTGCAAAAAATCTCATAATGTTTTAAGAAAGTTTACGAATTTGTGTTGGGCTGCATTCAAAGCTGTCCTGGGCTGCATGAGGCCTACAGGCCACAGGTTGCACAAGCTTGGTCTAGAGTTTATTTTGTAGTAGTTCTATCAAATATACCTTATTCAGAAATAGCAATGGCAAGGTAAGCTTGCCTCCTTCAAGAGGTTAAGCCTCATGGAAGTTCTTCCATCACTATTCTACCATTTTGGAATTTTGGGCTACCTGCAAAATGGGGTGATCTGCCCCTGAGCATCTATAAACTGATTTTGAGCAGGGTGGGGGAATGGGCCAGGAAGCCAGTGAATTGTTTTATCTTCCCAAGGTGCAATGAATCTTGTTTGGGAATTTATTCCCAGTACTTCTTTTTAAAGCATGTTGATCTGATAACCTGAGGATCTTAAAGGCCAAAAAATATGAAGAGAAGGTTTAGAAAGTCATATAGTGTTAGAGCTGAGTAGTACCCTGGAGGCATCTACTCAGATCGCCAGTGCTTGGTGTGACAGATGAAGTCACTGACCTTGTATAAGTCATTTTAGGAAGGGTCAACATTTTATTCATTTATTTATTCTTTCATCAAATATTTACCATGAGTCGAACAAGACATGTACCTGATAGTGAAAATTTCATTGGTCCTGTTTGAATTGGCATTCAATGAACTTCTCCTTTATTATATATTCCAACTGCTGGTTTCTCAAGGGCCCTGAGGGAATTGGTCTGATACATAGGATCTTTAGCCAGTGCAAATAGGTTTCATATGCAGGGTCACCAATTTCTGAGCTGCTGAGCTAATTAGTTCTACTTGGCTTTACATAATACATACATCGTTGAAAAGTTATTTGTAATTTAATTTTTGGCAAATGAAAAACTAATTTGAATCACTAAGGGGACTTTTATTTGAAGAGACTGTGGAGCAGACCCTTTTATAATGTGAAACTGTTTGTTGTTATTGGAAAGACTTGTCCCCTAGTTATGGATTTTGTAAATCTGGACACTTTAGGTTTTCTTATGGTGGACACACAACCAGGCCCAGCAGTGGCCTCTACAGGGTTGGAGAGGACCCTGGCCTGGGAAGTGAGAGCCCTAGGAATCTTAGAACAGCCCAACCCAAGGTATTGGCATTTACTGGAGCCTGTGACTGTAAGCTGCATGGACAAGCTGCATGCTTTCTCTCAGCTCCTGGGCCCTGGTGAGAAGGAAGAGGTGGGGCACAATGAGTGGGCGTAATGGATGAGACTGGGAGCTTCCTCTTCCTCTCCAAGGGTGGGAGTTGGGAGGAGATAGGATGGGGAACATTTTGCTTCCATTATAACAAATTTTAAACTCTTTCTTAAGGTCTTAGAGCTATTTAGAATTAGGACCCTTTTGTTTACTGCAACACAGTAGGGAACAAGAGGAAGAGCAGTAGAAAAAAAACAGGACAAGAGTTTAGGAGAGAAGAGGGTTATGTGGCCTCTTTTTATATAGTAAATCTCATTAGTTTGGGCCTTGCTATTTTTGAACTCATAAATAATCTGAAAGAAGACAGGACTGAAATTTGACTTTCATATAATATTTTTTCTATAGAAATTAGTAGAGTGCATGGTAATATAGAAGAAAATGTTTTAAAAATTAATGTATAGAAAATATATTTCACAAAGGAAATAATGTATTTTGATACAGAAGCATTATTTTTCACAAACAAGTCAAGTATTAAAGATCTTTGTCTAAGAGATAAAGCCTAATAGATTGCCAAGGAAGCTGAAATGTCTCCTTGTTGCATAAGGATGAAAAAATACTTCATGTATCCATTTGTAAATTCTATAATAATTTATATTGATCCTAATTAGCCTCTGTTAGTGAAACTTAATTGTTTTTCTGTGGAGAAGATAAAATTAGAGTATAAATATCAGTAGAAACTAAGGATAGAAAGTTCAAAAGAATGCTTTTAGGCTTTGAAGATAGAGTATTATTTTTTTTATGGTGTGACTTTTTCTGTTGCTCAAGGTCTTCTCAAAGTGAGCCTTGTAGCTGGTTCTCTGTGAGCTAGTAAAGAGAAGCAACTGATGCATAAAAAGACTCGTAGTCTTCATTTGGTGAAAAATGAAAGAGAAGAAATAGGCAAAATGGTCAGAGACACTTAGGAAATTTGTTTTAGGTTTAGGGTATGACTTCTGATCATGGAAACTGGCATTCTGGGGACACGTCTCTTCCTTCTTGGTTGAGTGTGCAGTTGGCCCACGTTACTTCCCTGGGCCAGTGATGTTATGCCTGGCCTGGAATTTTGTTGCCGAAATTTCCAGATGGGCTTCTTGAAACATTCAATCTTTGGTGATTGAAGGACTGAATGGGACTGTCCTGCCCAGCATGTTGCTTTCCTCTGTAAATTGTCAGATTTGGACCCCAAGGGTATAAGCCAAGTGGAGAAAGGAACCAGAGCAGGTATCCGTGGTCTCTGCTTCTGTCTCCCTGAGCTGACATACAACTGCTCGCCTTCTGGGGTCTATCTGTGTCATGTCCCTAGTGGTGATACTTAACAGAGATCCCAATTAAGCTTGAAGGGCTGTGAGTGTGGGTGGCTTTCCCTGAGAGTCCTTGTGGGATTCTTAGGTTAAATGATAAAGGTGCACTGGGCTAGCCTAGGGTTCGTTTATGTGGAAGCTGGGTTCTGACTTCCCACACATCTCACACTGGGCTGGATTGTCCTTTCCCTCCTGAGACTACTGTTCCTCCAGGGACATCTTTAGTTTCCATTCTTTGTGAGCCCCAAGCTTCTGCCCCTAGCCCCCTAACAGGAACTCAGCTAGAACATAGAAAGGACTTTCCAACTGAGAAGCAAGATTCAGAAAGAGAACGAGTTAAACAAGATAGTGCATTTCCTTCCCAGGAGATTTGTGTCTCCCCATCTCTCCTGTCTGTCATGGACGGATGTTGATGACATTGAGGGGAGGAGGAAGAAGTGGTAAGAGGAGTACTGTTATCAACTTTGCTTCCATTTGTAGGAGTCTTGTGATTTACCTTCCCTGTCTGTAAAATGAAGACTAATAGTTGCTGTGCCACTTAGAGGAAAGGGAAGGATTATTTAGAACTTTGTAATCCATCTTGCTATCAATTAACTAATTCAACAGGTATTTACTGAGTGCTGAGTGTGTTCCAGACACTGTGCTAGGCACTAGAGGTACAAACATGATTTTTAAAAAGGTCTCCATCTTCAAGTTTCAACAGCAAGAGTTGTTGTTTTGCCCCCAGGGCATGGAGGTTTGTCCATGCAGGGAGGGTGACTTGGACTGTCCTCTCCTTGAGAAGGACCAGGGGATTGCAGCCCTGATTACTCCCCATGGCTGGGATCATGTGGAAGTATCCCTTCTGTTGTGGACCCTCTCCTGGTCCATCGAGCTGGGCTGTAGGACCTGGACAAGGCGGGACCTGTTGACTGATGATGGGCTTGGGAGGCTGAATATGGGACCCTGCGATTCAGCCAGCTGGTTCCTCTCACCCTGATTCCTTCTGGTTTGTTGTCTCACAGGGTCTTTTCGGAATGATGGTTTGAAAGCTTCTGATGTCCTTCCTATCCTAAAGGAAAAAGTGGCCTTCGTGTCTGGTGAGTATTTGTGGGACTTTCCTTTGTAGAGGATCTAGAGAAGTTGGGTGCGTGCACATGTATTTAGGCTCACTTCTTTGTTACTAAGGGAGAAGTAGGGGTGGAAGTTATGCTTGGGGCAGCTGCTTCCTTTCTGCTGAGGCAGAGAGAGAGAGAAAAGAGGACTCTGGCCATAGTGGGGTGTTCTAAAGGACACGCAGAACCACAGGGCCATTCCCCAAACCCCACCCCATCTCAGCCCCCTGGCCCGGCAGGAGCTGCTAAGGGCCCCTGTGAGAGTTGCTCCAACTGGAGAATCTGTGCACTTGGCACATTCCTGAGGTTTTGAGCTCATTTCTGAATGGATCAAGGACAGGAGATTTTTTTAGAGTTTTTGTCTCCACTTTATCTCTCTGTCCCGGCAAAGGGAACTCAAGTGAGGATTCCTGTTTAGATGTTTGGTTTTTGTTTTTTCTGAATAATGACTTCCAAATATTTATATCTGACTTCTCTCTCCCATACATCTTTTGCACCTGGACCTCTTAATATCTCATTGGGAGGTCAGCAATCCATAGCTGGTGGGCAATCCACCAGATTTTGTAAGCAAAGTTTTACTGGTATATAGCGATGTCTATTTGTTTATAGCGTGTATTAGTTTCCCATTGATGCTGCAGCAAATTTCCATAAGCTTGATGGCTTACAACAACAGAAACGTATTATTGCACAGTTCTGGAAGCCAGAAGGCAGTTTCAGGGGCTTAAATCTAGGGGTCAGCAGGGCTGTGCTTCCAGAAGTTCTAAGGGAAAATCGGTTCCTTTCTTCTCTCAGCTTCCAATGGCTGCAGACATTCCTTGGCTTGTGGCTACATCACTCCTATCTTTACTTTCAGGATCAAATTGCCTTCTCCTCTTGCATCTGTGTCAAATCTTTCTCTGCCTCTCTCTTTTAAGGATACCTTTGACTACATTTAGGGCCTACCTAGATAATCTAGAATGATTGCCCTATCTCAAGACCGTTAACTTAATGGTATTTGTGAAGTCTTTGCCATGATATGTTTGTGGGCTATTATTTAACCTACTACAGGTAGTTTTGATGGCTGCCTTCTCACTACAGCAACAGAATTGAGTAGCTATTGCAGAGACCATTTGGCCCGTGAGCCGGAAATATTTACTATCTGACCCTTTAAGGAAAAAGCCTGGTGACCCCTGATATAATTGAAGCCAAAGACTGGCCAGAGCCCCTAAGGCAGTCATTCTCAAACAATAAGATATGCCAGAATTACTCTGGGTACCTGTTCCAGAGCTCCATGCTAAGTCTCCTGGATCAGAATTTCAGATAAGGTCTGAGGCAGGGGCTGGGGTACACAGTGTTAGTAGCCAAAGATTGTATTTTGAGAAACATTCCACGTGCTTATACCCCATGGACCAAACCTTAATTTTTGGGTGATTTTGGTTATCTACAAGGAGTAGCAATGGAGTCACAGAGCAAGAGCTAGTCCAGTCCTGTAGAGCAGAGGTTCATCCACAGGCACTGTTGGTCTGGCTGTTAGGCGACAGCCAAAATAGAGAGAAGAGGAGGAGGGGAGGGATAAAGGAAGGGGGAAGCTAAGGAGCAGCTGTCTCTCTCTTCATCAGAGAAAAGGCGAAAGCCCGATGATTCAGAGTGTAGATGTGGGAAGTAAGGGCAGACATGCAATGGGAATGCGCAGAAGACTTTGTAAGGACCAATTGTATTCTATATTATTATAATTATTATTAGCAGTAGTAGCAATAGGAATTTATTGTTGTCATTGCTGTTAGATGAGAGTGGCCTGGCAGCTGCCTCTTCCCATTAGGGGACAGTATATCTTACAAGGTAATGAGCCCCCTGTCATTGAAGATGTTGAAGTACAGGCAGAACAACTCCTTGGCAGCATTATGCAGCAGTGATATGGGTATGGAAGAGTAGGTAAGACAACCTCCAAAACCTTTGTAAACTTGGATTCTGATTGCTTGCTAAGCATAGGGGAAAACCTTGTGCAGAAGTCCTAGAGGCCACTGAGCAGTGCTAGCCCTCTGATTTCTGCTGATCCCCATAGCTTGGACTCCCAAGAATGTGGCCCACAGCCCTCTGGGAGCTCAATCTTATTTTTTTTCTTTTTATGGCCTTTAGTTAACCTAATGTTCTTCCTTTTCCCTCGATATCCTGCCAATCCTCCCATTTCCCTTGTTCCTGACACTTTTGTCCCTCTGCAGTGCCTTCTCTGCACCATCTGCCAGTTTTTTGAGCCTCTTTTCTCCTTCCAGAGTCAGTTCCTACCTTGCCTCCTCCAGGAGACCTTCCTGGATCTAATGCATTCCTCTGAGCATCATCCTGTTCCACATCAGTTTGGGGCATATGCATGCCCAGTACACTCTGACATGGAGACCCTTGCTTGATGTTTGTGTTTATTTTTTCTCATGTAAATTCAGTCAGAACCCTGGGGCAAAGCCCCAGAAAAAACCTTCTCAAGTGATTCGGGCTTGTCCTAATGGAGCTCATAGAAGCAACATGGCCAGGACGGCAGTCAGGAATGAGGCAGGTAGAAAATTCCCTGAGCAGGACGAAGGGGGCTGGGGGCATATAGCTCTCCCCCATTTGCCAGTGTAAGCCGACCAGCCTGGGCGAGCCTTATTTAACTGCATCTGCACTTGTGGTGCCAGGAACTTCTGGACTTAGGGAACATTGCCCTTCCATGTTTGAGAAGGACACTGAATATACTGGGAAGATAATGACTGGCTGCATCTTAAAAAAAAACACAAAAAACAAAGAACAACAACAAGAAACCCACACTAACCAACTCTTACATCCTGAGCTTTTAAAAGATAAAAGAGAAAACACAAAAATAAAACAGAATAAAGAAACCTAGAATTAAATAATGCAGTTTAACAGTTGGATTTCTTTCTGAGAAGAAAGCACTGTAAGGAAGGTGGTGAGTGGAGAAACAGGCTGTTTGTTAGTTGTGCCTGCCTTCTCCTGCTAGCACCCAGCTTTGGCCAGGCGAAAGGAGAGCCATGCTGCCATGGGAACGTACATCGGAATAATCCAGGGCAGCCCAGAAGCTTCTGCATGTGGGCATGTGCACATCTGTGTAACAGGATCTGGGGCTGTCTCTCAGTGAGCCTCCATTGTTCTAGCACTGCCCCATTCTGCTCTGTCATTCACAGCTCATGAGCTCCCCTTGGCCTCTCTGACATCCTTTGTGCTAAGTCATAGCACCCATTGTCCCTTTTATCCAGCTTTCCCATGTAGGATCCATTTCACCCTATTATCTTTCTGTGCATACACACCTCTTCCTGATTCCTCTCTGCCTCCTTATCCCCCACCAATGTGTTTTCCTCATTGGTTTCCACTGTTCTCAGGGAAACTCTGTGTTGCTGTGGCACAATCTTTTGTACCCTGGACCTGCATTTCTCAAAGTGTTTTCCAAGAACAGTTCCACAGGATGATCCTCTAGAAAGAAAAATGGGTTCTAATCTCAAAGAAGTTTGGGAAATTCTGGATATTATAGCTCTCTTTCTTGGAGAATTACAATGTCCATTAAAGTACATTAACATTTTAAGACTCTGGGAAGTCCTGCAGTAAAGAACTTTATTATCTTTTTTTTTTAATCTAGCATTTTCCTGTAGAATAACCTCATTCCCTAAAAATGTATGTGTCTGTGATGTGTATCCATTAACATTTTGCAGATCTATTGTTATACTGACTATCGGGGGTCCTTATTCTTCATCTCTGCTTATTGTCCTCTGTAATTTCAGCCTCTATGTCAATTATTGACCAAATCCTACAGCTTCTTTGCTGCTCAGCCTTCTTGGTCCCAAAGGTCTCCACTCCCTACCATGCTTATGCACATCCGAGATTTTGACCCTTGATATGTCTGTCTCTGGTGTTAGTCCTTTACTTTGACCCTTTCTGATATCCTCTTGTCATTTGGGGGAGGATGGATGTGAAAGGAACAAAATCAATACCTTTCCCTCTTCTCTGGGATCTCTTCACCCAACAGGACCTCTCCCAACCTCCCTGGGCATACCCCATTTACATGGTGCATTAGTTCCATTCTGCCTTCACTCAGCTTGGAGCCTGGCACAGATACTGCGGCCAAAGCTTTCAATAGAGCTTTTGCTGTGTTGTAGTACACTGTCAGCAACCCTGAAGCTCATGTCCTACCCTGTCCTACTGTCATTCTTGAGAGAAGTTCTCCAGTCATGACTTCATTTCTCTCTCCTCAGTACCCCGAGCCTATTCTGACCCTTGACTAGCTCTTGCCTACTGTTCCACCCAACGAATCATGTCCCTCAGGCAGGCTGAACGCCTCCCTCTCCATCACCTATCTCCATTTCCTCCTTCCTCTTGGAGTTCTGCAGGCTACCTCAGAGAGGGGGCAGCCCCATCCACTGTGGGCTAGATCCTCCTCTTGTGCCTGCCCTAAGGCCTTGCTTCACTCTTGTCTCTACCCTTCCCAGCATAAAGATTCTCTTCCTCTAGGCTCATTCCCCTCCTTTGTTCTATAATCTGCCAATGCCTCTTCCATTCTCAACATCACGTGACTTGATTGTGCTGCCTCCTATTGACTCCTTATATACATTTCTGGATGTGGGGAGTTAGAATTCCCCAGGCTTTCTCTTCTCACTCTTCCTTCCCTGCCATGTGAACCTTCCAGACTTCCTATTCACTATTTATTATATGATTTTAAAGCGCATTCATTAATGGACACTATGCGTAGGAAGTGGAACCAAGTTTCTCAGGAGTATTAGACAGAATAAAAAAAGCAGAACCTTGGTTTCTTGTTTCCTTAGCATAGTGTCCATTAATGAATGAGTTTTAAAATCATATAATAAATAGGCCAGTCGCGGTGGCTTACACCTGTAATCCCAGCACTTTGGGAGGCTGAGGCAGGCAGATCACGAGGTCAGGAGTTCGAGGCCAGCCTGGCCAACATGATAAAACCCCATCTCTACTAAAAGTACAAAAATTAGCCAGGCATGATGACATGTTCCTGTAATCCCAGCTACTCGGGAGGCTTAGGCAGGAGAATCACTTGAACCTGGAAGGCAGAGGTTGCAGTGAGCCGAGATTGTGCCATTATTGCACTCCAGCCTGGGTGACAGAGCAAGACTCCATTACACACACACACAAAGTCATGTAATAAATAGTAAATAGGAAGTCTGGAAAGTAGAGGAAAGAAAAAGCAACTATTTTCCAGCCATCTGAAAACCTGCCCAGCTACATCCTGCAACTCATGTCCTCAGAGTCAGTCCTGGCTGCAGCTTGGGAGGGACAGTGTCAGCCAGCCCTCCAAGCCACCCTTTGCCAGTCAGAGCTATGGTTCCTTGTGGTTCCAAGGCTCTATTTGTCTACTTGTAACATGTCCAAGGAAGGTCAGGAAAAAACCAACAGCTATGGTAAAACAAGCAAACAAATAAACTGCCAGAGTGAAAATGCTTGTGGTGAAGTCAAGAAGGGAAGGTTGAGAGTATGGGAGGACCTCCTTGCTTTTGGGAAACCTTCCATTTAATCTTCTTGCTTCCTTTTCCTCATGTGAAAGGCAGTGGAGAGATGGGGATCATTTCCAAGGCAGATGAGACAAGAGTGGTCATCACTTCAAAGAACCAGAGCTAATGGTGTGAAAGGTCCAACTCTGAGTTAATCTGTGTGAATCTGCCCTGTTGGGGGCGCTGGGCAGTGGTAGCGGTGCTGAGACACTTCATCAGGGCTGAATCTCACAGTGGCCTTCTGTAATCCTTTTCTCCCTGCAATCCTTTTGTAATCCTTTTCTCCCTGTAATCCTTTTCTTACTTCCTCCTCAAGGGTTTTCTGGATTGATTTTTTTGTCAAGCCTCCCCTCTATCTGTGTGGCTTCTGGACCCCGTAATCAGAGGGAAACCTTATTCATGAATTCACACTTGGGCAGGATCCCTGGGAGACTCTGCTCTCTGTGTAAGAGATCTTTGCTTTCCAGCACTGGTGAAGGCCGCACCTCTTCACTCTTTTTCATTAGATCCCCTTGTGGTCCTACTCTGGGATATGTCGGGTGGCTACCTGAGATGCGGTGTGAGGAGTCTGTAATCATGGCACAGTGGTTTTCTTTGTGTAGTGGCCAGTAAGGTCATAGTTAACTTTAACATTTTTCCAGTCTAACACCCCTGAGAAACTTGGTTTCCCTTCCTAAGCCTCGTGTCCATTAGTGAATAAATTTTAAACTCATTCAATAAATAGTGAATAGGGTATTTGGAAAGTAGAGGAAAGAAAAAGCAACAGTCTAAAATCCTGGCCTTCTAATAGCAACAGCAATTGTCATTTTGATATACTCCTTCCAGTTATTTTAAATGTGATATTTAGAAAACACTTGTAATCCTAGTATGTACATATGCATTTGCAGTGATTAAAACCACCCTGATTTCTGATAAGATTCATGTGCTCCTCCAGCAGGAGTGACAGGTGGCACCTCAGGCAGACAGGCAGGGGTGGCTTTTTGGCTGTGTAGAAAATACTTAATGTTTTTTCTATGAATGTAAAAGCCTCCTAGTAATGCTGTCCTGGGATGGATGCTTTGAGGTCATCTCACCGTAGTAGTCAGTTCATCACAAGCCCTTCCACCTCTTTCTAGACTAATTTACTTCTTTTTATAGACAGACCTCTGTAAATTTCCAGAGAACATAGCACTTTCAACCTGCTTGTTTTCTCAATAAGAACAGTTATCACCACTTTCATTATCATCTCATATTTGTAGAGAGCTTTACTTTTCCAAGTGCATCCCCGTGTACCAACTCATCATTTCTTGTAGCAACTCTGTAATGTACACAGTATTATTTTCATCTGCCTTTTACAGATGAGGCACAAGGGAAGCCCTGGGGCTTCCCTGTGGGGGTCTAGCTGTAGGTAGCACATATGACTGAGGGCACGTCTTTTTTGCCCTCAGTCATATGTGCTACCTACAGCTAGACCCCCACAGCTTGTGCTAAGCAGTGACCAGATTTCTCTGGATACCCTCTTTCTGTCTGTTCATTTAGCACTCAGACCGATGTCTTTTCTCCCAGTGGCTTTCCTTTGTGGCTGGTTTTCTTAAACACACTTTTTTTCCTCTTCTTTGCAGGGGGTCGTGATAAGCGAGGCGGACCCATCCTGACCTTCCCTGCTCGCAGCAATCATGACAGAATAAGACAGGAAGACCTGCGGAAACTCGTGACGTATTTGGCCAGCGTGCCAAGGTAAGGGGAAGGGGAATGGTCTGCAGAGGAGGTGGAGGGGAGCTGGGCTGAGCCTCCATCCCTGCCAGGGACCCTGGTGGTTTCTACCCTTGGAGTGGATTCTAACCATTCTGGAACACTGTTGTCTGCCTCATTCCCATCATTCCCTTCGTTACTGCTGGGATTCATGTGAGTGGGGTGGGAGCAGGGAGTGGCAACTCTAGACAGAGGGGAGGGTCCCAGGCTAAGAGGACCAGCACTGGGCCTGCACTGGGAGACAGTGTGGCCTGAGAAGTAGGGATAGGCAGCTGCTTTTTGCCTTGTAAAATGGGACCTCTGGTTGATTTTACTCTGGTTTGGCAGTCGATTGTTTTCAAAACCTCTAGCTTGTGGATAGATTTGTGGCTTTGGAGGTTTGGGGTAAATACCTCCACTTGTATCACTCAGCTAGAGGACACACTCAGCTTAATTTAGGTCATGCATTTTCAGTGGGAGTGATGTTGCCCCCAAAGAGAGTGAAAGTTGGTTCTTGGGGATAGCAAAAGAATTTTTCTCATGTATTAAGCACAGGTATACATACTGTACCAATGTACAGTAAATGTGTGGTATTAAATTTTCACTAGGTAAGGTGATTGGGGTAAAAAGATCTAAAAAGGCTCCTTCAGGGCCTAGGACGATAATTTTTAAAAGTGTGAGAAACAATGGTCTAGGTAGTACTGGCCACAGGTGGGTATGGGAGACATGCCACAGACAAGGTTTATGTATTTTGAGAAGGGAGAGAAGAGGTGTTCACTTGATCAGAGAACCACAGGATGTGAGAATTGGGAGAGCACTGAGGAGCAAACTAGGCAGATATGTGTCATGTCCTGCTTAGGGAAAGGGGCTGACAGGGGAAGTGTGAGGTTCCCAAGCGTCAGTGGCAGAGCCTGGCCTAGAAGTCACCCTCCTGAGTCCAGCCCTGGTGCTGTCTCACCATCTTTGTTCTTGAGCAGCAACAGCACTACTCTGTCTCTTAGTGGGGCCAAAGCCTGTGAAATGTTTGTTGTGGCAAATAAGAAATGGTGCCTTGGATTTTCAAAACCGTCCTCTTGTCTCTTTGCATTTTATAGAAGATTTAGTGAATTACAGAAGGGAACTATATACCCAGCTTTGCCTTTGTTGGAAGACTTGGGATAATTTTTGAATGTGCTGATTAAGTTCTTGAAGCAGGTGTCAAGTGAGGCAAGCACTGCATCTCAGATTGCTAAAGAAGGAAGAGTGTAATGGGAGGGTTGAGGGGTAATGGGCAGGTGGTAAAGGAGATTTTAAGAGCAGCCATCACATGCTTGGAAAGATGTTGAATGGAACAGTGAGCCCTGAAGAACTTTAGGCAGAAGACTGTGAACAAATAGATACTGAATAGTGTCTGTCTTTTTTTTTCCTTTTCTTTATGATAGCCGCTGGGAACAGAAAAAATATAAAAAGGTCTTAGGCTCCAGTAAAAGGGATTTGGGTTATATCTAAAGAAGAACTTGTAAACTTTGAGTGCATGAGACCATGAATGTAAGGATGAAAGTTTTTTTTTTTTTTTTTTCCTGGAGGTCATTATAAAGAAGAAATACTCTTATCTGTCTCAGAGGCAAGGAGATGGACTAAATAACTCATGATTGATATAGGTAATTTAGCAATTTAGCTATCTAGGAGCTAAGCAGTTTTTTTAAAGCACTTTTCCTAAGTATATGACTATCAGGCATAAAACCTGGAATTTTCTGAAGCAATTTACAATAGATTTTTTTCATAGGGACCCATGATGAACTCTCAGTTCTTTTGAAAACAGAAGAAATTGGGATCCCAGAAGATATAAAGGATACATTTTTCTTTCTTGCATGTTCATCACATACCTGCAGCTAGCTAATTCATGCTCATCTTTTCTTTAGAATAAAGAGAGAGAGTTGGAAGAATACTTTCCTTCATTCTGACTTGTTAAGCAAAGAGTGGGACAAAACAGATTGGAAGCAATTTAAAAAGAAAAGATTTCCACTGGGGCGAAGGGGAACAAAACCCAAGAGGGGCTGAGAGGAAGGTCATAAAAAAGGTGGAATAATACATTATCACTGAAGGAACACAAAAGATGCAGGCTCTCTGCTTCTCAGAAGGTGGTCACATAATTGCAGCCTGTGTTCCTGAGAATAGGAAGGCTCTTCATAGGGCAGGCAAGAACCCCGTTGCCAGTGGGAAGAACTGTTCTGTGAGGCCTGCTGCCCTGCCTCCCGAGGGACCTGCATTCACGAGGAGTGTAAGCATCTGACAGACCACAGAGTCCACCTAGTCATGCCCATTAGTCACTTCCTAATTCTGTTGGCCACATGTCACACATAATGGCTGTTGGATGGAACATGAATGTCCTAAAGACAGTGAAGTTTTGGGTAGGAAAATCAAATAACTTAGCAGGTCAGATAGTATCTGCCACTTTCTTCTGTGTAGTCATGGCTTTGGAAGAGAAGGGGAACAATGAAAATGAATAGTTAGATTCAGTAGATGATACTGATGAGAAGAAATTATTTATCTGGGTTATGATCCAGGATGTTAAAAAGACAGGTTCCTATTGGAGGCAGATTGTTACAGGCTGGCGTGATCAAGCCTGTAGGTGACATTTGACGCCCCGCCCCTTCTTTTTTTAAGACTGAATCTCATTCTGTTGCCCAAGCTGGAGTGCGATGGCACAATCTCGTCTCACTGCAACCTCTGCCTCCAAGGTTCAAGTGATTCTCATGTCTTGCCCTCCCGAGTAGCTGGGACTACAGGTGCCCACCACCATACTTGGCTAATTTTTTTGTTTTTAGTAGAGACGGAGTTTCAGCATGTTGGCCAGGCTGGTCTCAAACTCTTGACCTCAAGTGATCCACCCACCTCAGCCTCGCAAAGTGCTGGGGTTACAGGTGTGAGCCACCATGCCCAACCAATATTTGCTACTAATTTATTCATGCATTTATCCATTATGTAGTCAACAAGTATTTAGAGCTTCTCTATGCCAGGTAGATTGAGGATTTGTGGTGAACAGGAACAGACATTTTGAGAAAGTTAGGGGAAACCTGGGTATCTCCCTACCCAGTGCCAAACAAGTAATAGTAAAAGGCACCCAAAGATGGGAGTGCATTGGTAGCATAGGAGATGAGCCAGCCAGCAGAAGACAAACAAATAAGGACAAGTGAGAGGTGAAAGAGGATCCTGGAATTTAAGGAGCCAGCCAACTTAATGGCCATTTGGGGCACCATTTTAGAATAGCTGATTAAGCAGATAGTGTTGCTAATTTAAAAATGAATAGGAAGAAGTAGTCTCACTTTCCTCTCTGTAGGCCAGGCCATATCTGGACCACTGCATTCAACTCTGCAACATTCATATGGCCAGCTTCATTTTAAAAGCAACATAGCTCAGTTAGAGTGCTGTCAAGGGAGCAGCACATTAAGGCACCCACAATCCATGTTTCTGCAATGGAAGGAATGAGGAATGTTTACTGGCAGGTGTGAAGATGAAGGGAAAAAAGAAGCAATTCCTGACTTCAGGTGTCAGGAGTGCTGCCCCACAAATGAGGAAACAGGGCTGGTCTCTGTTGCATCAATGGATAGACATTAGAATCAGGAGAAAGAACCTGCCCACGTGGGAGCTGTCTAGTAACATTGCTGCTGCCTCAGGAGAAAGTGAACTTCCTGTCACTGGAGAACAGATGACGCTCTGTTAGGGAAGCTGTAGAAAAATTTCCTCTACTGGGTTGGAGTGGGCTTAGATAACTTCTAAGAATCTTTCCTGCCTCGAATTCCAAGTTTCTGTGACATTGGAAAAAACAATACATCAGAAAATCTAGGACCTCAAAACAGAGTATTACCACCCCCACCAACATACACACTCTCTTCTCAGACATCCTAAGTAAGTTAAGGTCTGGGATTTCACTTAAGATTTTGTCTATACCTTAAATCCTAAGAGAACTTCTTAGTCCCCTTAGACTCTGGGTTGGAATTTTGGGGCATTACCTAGGACCAAGGATCCTGCTGGGGTGTAACAGTTTGAATCAGTCCTGTCTTATTCATTCAGGTCCATCTTGGCCTGAGATGAGTCCCTTCATTTTAACTTCTCTGTCTTGCTGCTGATGAGTTTGGGCATCTGTCTCCTAGGTCGCTCCAGGTTTTCCATCATCTTTCTGAGGAGTCATAGGTAACAGGGTAGGAAGAAACCTTAAAATTTTTCTATTTCAACTTTTCAATAACTCCATCCACTCAGTTCAACAAATGTTTACTCAGTGTCTGCTATGAGACAAGTCCTGGATAGGAATCTTGATGAAATCTCATGTTATCTTTACTGTCATCCACCTACACTTATCTAACATTTTTTTGTCCTGGTCTGCTATCTGCTTGCAGTTACTTGTACATGAAAGGAGTGAAAAGAAAATACTCAGATATGATCAGTTGATGAATGTCCCTAGAAATTGAGAGGCAGGATAGAAAATCCAGCGTGAGAGTAAACAACTATCCAGGCCTAGCCCACAGTGTGGATAATCTACCTACTATGATTGTTGGGAATTGATGAACTGCTTGAAATAGGAATTTCTAAGTACTACATCTAGTAAAGAAATTCATCACTATTAGCCTGCTTTGTCACGACCTTCTTTCTGTGACTCCTAAGGGCACCAGTTGATGTATCTGACACTTAATCTGCTCTTAGTAGTGCCACTGAGATACTGAGTGTTCTGCCAAGGAATGCAGGAATCATATTGGAGAGGAAAGATGACAAGAAATTAGGATGAGTTATTCTGTAATGTCAGTCAAATCAAGGTGCCTTTACTTGTGGCTTATTATTTGATAACATTTGCTCTTGTTCTATTGATTTCAGCAAAATATAAGTTGGGCTTATGGCCAGCACTGTCCTTGTGCGGCATCACCAGAAAATAGGCATAAGCAGAGACAACCAAGAAGACAGTTGAAAGAAGAGGGGTAAAAACTGTAAGGGTTTCCTTGCTCTATTTTCTGCATGAGAGAGCCTGAACTATC